GTACGTATGAGACGCGCGAACGTACGCAGAGACCGATATTTCCGTGGTGGACTCCTGGACATAGGGTGAGGCGCTGGCGGTTAACACTGAGCTCGGTGAAGAATATCCATCGCTCAGCATGTCAGTCCCCGTACCATCTTGGAAACTTGTACTACAACGGGATTGGGTGACACCACATGAAACTGAAGGGGTTGGAAAAACTCTGGCCTATTGGAATGGAGGGGCGTTAAGTTATCTGAGAGATGAATATCTAGCGGGTTCACCTGACCTAAAGCCATGCAATTTTACCTGTTGCGCTCGGATGTTCAATTGGGTGGGTCTACAGGCGGAGAATCAACGATTCGCCATGAAACTCAGGCACCCGGAACGCAATGGTTGCGTAGCAGAATCTCTCGATGGGGTGGTCAAGAAGGCTTGTGGCGGAGCATAAACGAGTAGTATTAATATGGAATCCATATGGTCAGAGAAAGGTGCCGATCAGAATTCCATAAAAGGTGTAAGCTCAGGCAGCGCTGCGAAAGTCAAGGGAAGAAAATGATCTTTTTATTTTATTGCCCGCCCCGTAGGTGTAACCAATCAAACACTTCTACATTCCAACAAGTGGGTCAGTGATCCTAAACAAAGGGTGTGGAGAGAGAAACTCGGTATCTGCATCCTTGCGGTAAGAAAAAAAAACCAGCGTTTCATTGATAAGGATATGCTTTATACTCTCCAACAGATGGTGAACAATAGGGAGCGAGTTCACTGCAGCAAGGTGGATAGAGACAGTATTTCAGGCACACTTTCTTCCAACATTGGCCGTGCGGCTTTTGGGGGTTTTTTGCGTCGAGGAGTGTCAATGAAAAGATAATGATCTAAGCGCTACCTGCTTCTTGCCGAGTCATGAGGCAAGCTGCGGGTAGAGTGCTGTGGAGGGGTTACAGGGCATAGTACGTCAATTCTAATGGGAGAAAAAAGGTGAGTAACTCTGGTGAATGAACAAGTGACCGCTCGCTCGTCAGCAACCGCTCAATGAAGTCTGTAGAGCCGTTTTTTAAAAGTAGTTTGAGAAATTGTGCACACTATATAACCCAGGACTGCCAGCAGCCACTATCCTGAGAAAGACGATTTCTTTCGCATATGCAGGGGCAATCTCCAGAACAGAGAAAAACAAGCATACAGGGATATTCAAGAAAAAGTACTTCTGAAGAACGTAAAGTTCGTCCCCTTCAACTCAAGTGAACATAGCCAATTTTCGTAGATTCACGACGCAATATCCTTCCAAGGTAATTGCGTTAAAGTCGTCCACTCTCATTTGCCGCTTAATGGAAATCGCTCCGTAAGTAGTTGCTATTCAAAACCAAATTGTGACGTGCGCATGAAAAGCTAGATGTCCTCCACGGAAAACAAAGGATTACTGAGGCTCGCATAGCAAAACATTCAGCAATACAGCAATACTGCAGTAAGACCAACGCCATATGTAGCACTGTGGCATTGAGGGAGGATTTGATATTGAAAGTCCTATTCGGTTATTGAATGATCGAATACAGGAAAGGGGTGAACATTTTAAGAATGCTGCTCTAACTGACCAAGCTGTTTCCGATTACCAATCATATTCTCGCGTTTTTCCTATTTGGTTGAAAAAAGGATCAAGTATGCGTCGAGGAATCCCTGGTAGGATGGGTGTGTCCCGCGGAGCTGGTAGTAAACACTTGCAGTATCGTGCCTGGCAGTTAATCCATGGAGGGTCATACAGTTAGTTAGGAAATCAACACGGCTAAAAAAGCAATGTGTCTATTGACTCATCTAACCAGGGAAGTCCGCCAACTTACCATGGAACTTGAATGGAGACCTGGGTAGATCGATAGAGTCTATAAGGTTATTTACAAATATAGATAGCAAAACTGCAACCTGCATTTCACAAGCAACTTATGAGCAGGTAAAGTTTGTAATGGTAGGTGGAGGCTTGGTGGTGAGCTGTGAAGCATAAGCGAGGAATCGCATACGTCGAATCGAGTCGTCGAACGTCGAACCTTACCACTGAACCACCACGACTCGATTCGACGTATGCGATTCCTCGCTTATGCTTCACAGCTCACCACCAAGCCTCCACCCTACTGCACCATTACAAACTTTACCTGCTCATAAGTTGCTTGTGAAATGCAGGTTGCAGTTTTGCTATCTATATTTGTAAATAACCTTATAGACTATCGATCTATCCCAGGTCTCCATTCAAAGTTCCATGGTAAGTTGACGGACTTCCCTGGTGGAGCAGGATAGGGAGCGTCTGCGCTAAGTTCAAATTCGCAAGAAGTTCGGTGGAAATGAGCATTCAGGCCCAGGAGCATCCCTGGACCCATGTCCCACTGGCTGCTAGCTACTAGCTAGTAGCCACTACGCTATCTCTCTACACTTTTATCATTCTCGTTAGCGTTAGCCCGAAGGATGATAGTGATAGTTCAACATATCACGAGGCTTCGAAAGTTTTGTTTTGAATAAATGAAAGTTTTGGAGTCTCACACTGCTGCTTAAGCGTCGTGGTAGAAAGTGATCCCGCAGCAAAAACCTCGCAGACTTCTATAATTGTGAATTAGCTCAGTTACTCGCAACATAGGTGGCCAGATGTTCAATAGACAAATCCATTATTACAACGGTCCCCACACCCGAGAAGAACGACTGCTATACAATTCGTCACAAATGAATCATATGGTAAACGCTATCACATTGAAATCTGCTAGCGAAAAAAGAAATTTGCGAATTCCTCTGCGTTTCTCGCCCCACGAGAGACAGAGTGTCACAACATGGAGATTGAATACAAAAAAGATCTAAATATTCCCGAAGAAAGGGTATCAACGGTTTGCAAATGGTCAATAGTAACACCTATGGCGCAAAGTTGGTGATACGGGATCGTAGAGTTCAGAATTTGGTATCCACTAAGTTTCTACGACCCTGTCTGCAAAACAGTAGGCAAGTTGGTGCACGTCCCATAGCATTCCTTTACCCATTTTACACTGCTTCTGCGATGGTAGGGAATAGTTTCACGCATCATTGTTCCGGTGACAGCCATTTGGTGCAAGCCCCGCCCCTTGTGGGCGGCCCTAGCATGGCTTGCCCATAGTGGATAAAGCTGACGAGCGGAAAGGTCATTGTCTGCAGATCTACGTCTACGCCCCACCTATTCCAAACTTCACCCGGACTCGAACCAAACTGAACCTTCAGGTAATACCCAATACCGATACGCGCAAGGTAAACATGCAGACCGACAGTCACTAAGTTGTGGTGTATACCCAGAGAAAAGTAAATTTGCAATTTCCAACGCAAAAGAAATGTTTTTTTCAGGAAAAGATGACTCAGACGTACGTGTCAGAGGAAAGGGCAGTGGCTCCTCAAGCAGTTCTCTTTCATCGTTAGAAGAAAGTGGTATGAGCACTGGGTTTTCCAGTGAAACCGAGCTCGCATTCAGTAGCCGATGTACAGTTACGGTTATGAAAGCACCAAAAAATCTCCAGACTAAGACATCTTCAATTAGAGCACCATCAAAAGTCAACGATAGATTTCATGGGCCTCCGGACACCACATTGAATCACTCAAAAGCAGTAAGAAAGTTCGCAAACACAAAACTAGTGACCGTTAAATCATGGCATATTATCACTTTTAATAGAATACTTTCATATTGCTTAATGAATAGTTGAATGTGTTGTGCTTGTCAGAACCGAACACGCAAACTAAGTACCCGTGAACCACACGTCGTACTGGGATAGAGGGGCTGGTATTGAGGCTGGAGGGAAGAGGTCCGCTTGGATTGACTTCGTAAAGAATCGTTCCTCGGCTGCCTTGCACTTTTTTCGAAGTATCCTCGTTTCGATGTACGCTTACATACGCCTCCCCCAGCAACTCTCCAAGGAACGAACAAAGAGTCCGGTCCCTAATGCTGGAAACAATTAAGGAAAATGACAGGTTCACTGGGGATGGGGAAGGGGGGGGGTCGTACAAGAAGAGGAACTTTTGACGAGAAGGTCGTATTTTCCGAAAAGTTTCCCCAACGGCAGGACGTGCCCGTAAGTAATACAGATCATTCCTCACAGAATCCACGACAGATGGGTTGAGCATTTTGAGGAATTCCGGGAAACACGTTCTTCGATACACTCATACTGAAAAGTTATTGAGTTTGGGGAAAAGCATCCTATACCTTCCCTTTTTATGATAGAAACCTTTGCTATAGAAAAAGCTCTCGGCTTTCTAATTTTGGGAAGATCTAAGAAGGTTTTTCATCTGATTAATTAATTCAGTCCGGAAAGCAGTGGATGATGGTGGATGATGAAGAGGGGGGTCGTACCACAGCAGGAAATCCTGAGAGGGTACCTTTTCAGCTTATTCCCAACTCAGGGCACATTATTGCTGGGGATTCCGCAACAGGGGTTTCGTATTTGCTCGTTGTTAGGAGAGGGGGGGCTCGCGTTTGGCTTCTGGCCTTGTAGGAAAAGTTGCCGATTTTTAGTGGCTTTCTCTGTTTCATATTTACTATATACCCCACAGCAATATTTTTGAGAAAAACTAGGAAAATTCTCGGAAAAACTCTTGCGTAGGAAGTGGGGAAAATCTAGGAATGTGGTAGTTAGGATGGGGAAAAAGGGGAGTCGTATCAAGAACCTTTGAAGGAGGGGGGGGGCGCACGGACGTGACCGAAATCCCCAACTGATGATGTGCCCTGTCGCAGCTCATTCTTGGATCTTCTTTAGGATAGGTAAGTTTACCTTTGAACCACCGAGAGACGTTTCGGTCAAAAGAGTGTTTCTTTCTGCGCCTTCGTATCACTTATGGAACCTTTTTCAAAATGCCACCCCCGAGTCCGTTGAGCAAGAGGGGGATCATTCGATCCACAACCAAAAAAACTTAAAATGCGGCGCCGCCGGGTAAGAGGATCGCCTCTTCGGCTAAGAGTTGGACCTGAAACATGTCGCCAGACTCCCCTCCCCTGTTGGGAATCCCCTATGAAGTGCCCTGTTCATGACACCAGCATGTCATTCTTCAAACCATACAAGAAGGAGAAGTGCGCAGAATCGTGAGCCCGTAAACGAATTCAAAGGAAATCGGTCACTGAATAACAGAGAAAACGTACATGTTTGTTCTAGCCTTGTAGGATACGAGACTGCAGTGCCGTTGTCGTTAATGGCTTGACACTGATACGTTCCGGCATCGCTTTCGTCAAGTTTCGAGAACACGAGAGTTCCTGAAGGTGATGCTGTGAATTATGTGATTAAAATAAAACCATCATTCAACACAAAGAACGAATCGAAAGCGAATGTTGAGAAATGACGTAACGAGGATTTTTTTTTCGTAAGATGAGCTAGTTCGATGTATGCTCAGTCGTAAGTGGAACAAGGCGGTCATTGCAACCACCGTGAATGTTTATAAGGAAGTCTCAGTCTGCACTTCGCACTATTATATCATACGTAAACAAGGAAATTCCAGTAAATCAACGGAAAGTTTTCAAACGGCGAGTCACAAAAAACGACAGAATTCCCAAATCATTAGTAACCGACCTTCACCAGGCTTCTGAACCAATTTTTCCGAGTACATTGCGACGTTGAATGGTTTCCCATCTTTTGTCCACCGATACCTTTAATAGCAAAGTTGACAAAAGTTAACAAAACAGAGGCTTAAACCATCGAATACTAAACAGTATTGTCCTTCCTTTCAAAACAAAAATACACTACAAGCAAATTAGAGGCGACACTTCATTTACAGCAGTTACATTTGCGCTGGCTCATAAGTAATGGCGCTCTCCCCCACAAGAATTTTTTGTGAAAAGTGGGAATTTTTCCTAGTGTGTTCCACTTTGTTTCAAAGATTCAAGGGCCGTTCAGAATATTCTCGATTTGGGGATATTCAGCAGTGGAGAAGGAATTCAAGTCATTTCAATAGGTAACGACACTCCCTGAAGGTACAAATACAGAATATCATTTACTTATCATTAATGCTATTCTAGTTGTCCTTGGTGAAAGGAGACCAGAATGATTGATGCGATACTGCTGAGAAAATGAATAATGATTAGAAAAATCGAGAAAAATGAAAAGAAAATTTATAAAAGAATTAGTAATTACTCGTTGCTCCTCTCTGACGATGAAGAGCTGAAGGCGGCAATTAACGTACATTCTGGAGATGATGAGGAAAAATATTTTCCCGAGCGAACAAGTGTCATACGTACCCCATACGACAAAATACACTGACCCTTGTTAACTTTCTGCTCCACAAAAAATTGTACTTGCTTTTCTATTGATTTTGATCAGTAGTAAATTATAATTCATCAAAGTGGGGCGGCGGGTCGACGAAATGAGTCTGAAAACCGTTCCGTTTCTTATGTGCAGGCCTCTCGAGATTAGCGTCGTTTGTGGTGTGCTGACGCAGGGATTAGTTTCTCCGTAGGATGGGTGAGTTGGTCAGCGATTGAAGGTGGGGATTGCATGGCCAAATGTGCAATCGGGTGGGACGCACCACATGGGTGAGCGATTGCCTGCAAAGCCGATCATCAATAATTCAACTTCTTCCATCAGCTGGGGTGCGGCCTTAATGATGATGTGGCCGAGGATTTCCATGCCTCGAACAATCTCCATTCTTCGGCGTGGCATGTTCTTCGAATAAAGCGTTGAATCAGTAAGTCCCTCGAGTTGGGGCTCAAAGAAAGGCATCAGGGCATTGTGTTCTCGTGTGAGGTCGCATGATGGGACGTTCAATCGTTTCAATCGTGTTCGCCCTTTTCAAAACTTCCGAAAAGGAATGAGAAGAATCTTCAAAAAAAACAAGCACACATTTTTATAGGGCAGAAAAAACTCTAATAAACAGTGCTGAAGTTATTGGTAAACATTTGCAATCTCGAATCGAAATTTTGGCCAAAAAACGCCTTTACTTATGGGCCAACATGATATTTACAGCGCAAATCTATCGTTCTACAGTTTTCAGTCAATACCACACCAATACGTCTTATAACGCAGAAATTCGTCAGCTCATCACTCATTGTTTCATGGTTCCACTTTACATCGCTGAAACAACGACGTCTTCACTCTTCTATTGGCCATCCATTAATGTTACACGAGTTTCTGTTTAAAAACGTGATACTAATGCATAGTTTGGCATTTGCAAAACTATTGTGGCTATTTACATCTTTGCGCACCACACAGTAGCGTGAAGTATTAGGCTGTCCGGAAAGTTCTCAGCATTTTGTGTTACTATTTCTTGTTTCTTCTTCACTGCTTTTGCGCAACAGAAACGACCCGTTTTGGACCGAATTGTCACCTGTGATGAAAAGTGGATCATGTATGATAACAGGAGACGTTCCGGACAGTGGTTGGATGCCGACGAACCACCGAGGCAATTTCCAAAGCCGAATCCTCACGAAAAAAGATTATGGTCACAGTGTGGTGTCATCGGCTGGTGTGATCCACTATAACTTTTTGTCACCAGGCCAAACCATCACAGCAGAGTCCTACTGTGAAGAAATCGACGAAATGTACCGAAAATTGCGTCAGCTGCAGCCAGCACTTGTCAACAGAAAGGGTCCGATTCTTTTGCATGACAACGCCCGCCCACACGTTTCACAAATCACTATCCATAAATTGAACGAATTGGGGGTTGAAGTTCTACCTCACCCGCCATATTCTCCAGACCTTTCACCAACCGACTATCACCTTTTCAAACATTTTCAGAACTTCCTTGCTGGAAAATACTTCATCAATCAGGACCAGGCAAAAAAGCCTTTTCGTGGATTCTCGACCACCCAGTTTTTTCCTTTGATGGGATTTCTCGACTGTGTCACATTGGCAAAAGTGTGCTGATTCGAACGGTGCTTGTTTCGATTGAATCCGATGAGTATTAAGAAAGTTATGATCGTTTAAAATGAAACACTCAAAACGCTGAGAACTTTCCGGACAACCTAATAGCAGACAGGACATCATGTCCTGCAAGTGCTGCCGGGATCCGCGCTGATTCTTTACTCGAGTGTTGGCCGCCAAAATACCTACATAAGCAACCTGCCAAATTAGCTGCTCAAGCGAAGGCAGCTACAGAGCATTTCTTGAAACCAATTTCTCAGAGCCACTGGAACAGGCACTAGGAAATCCGTGACAGACAAACAGATAAACACAGACAGACAGACAGACAGACAGACAGACAGACAGACAGACAGACAGACAGACAGACAGACAGACAGACAGACAGACAGACAGACAGACAGATAGACAGTACTAAAGGACTACATGCAGATATACTCCTTACCCCTGAGACAGGGAAGTCGTGGCATTCGAACTTGGCGCAGAACTGGTTACGCGTGGGATATTTCAATTTGAAACAAAGGCCATCTCGTTCTTTGCTGGACAGTGACGTGATATTTCGGTACACGAAAGCTAGTCACCACGAGGTTTAGTCGAAGTACGCAGCCACGCCCACCTCATCTCAGGGAGTTTCAGATGTATATATTCGTTGAGGGCAGAACGGCGCGGTTGAGAAAATGCCTTGGACAATGAAGGGGACCTGATGGACCACCAAAACAGAGCTATTCTCAATGGAAATACCTTCCGAAAGAAATATAGTGCCTTTCCGCAGATGGGGTTCGATTCGAAGATCTGACGAGTGCGTTCTGACTCGTTACGTTGCTGTCACGATTCAAAGCAGTGCGCAAGACGGCTAATACGAAGAATTAGAACCAAAACTTGGACACTGTGCCGCCGTTTGAAATTTCAGAAATGATGCGACCTCAACGAGCTCGAGGGGTCAAGGTTACCATTGAAACCTCTTTTCTTCGACGGAAACCACACAGTGTGATGCACATTAGATTTTCAAACAGCGTTCGCCATAGCTGCACAAATATTTCAGTCCACTCGTGCCGGATTTGGATTGGGAAAGATTAGTTGAATACAAAAGACTGACATTTATAAAAGGCTTCATTCTTTTCGCAGGAAGGCTTTTGTTACACACCCATCACAGAAGGACCACTTATTACAGGACGGAACGTTCTGATTATCCAACCCCGTGTTATGGCATGAGTTCATGATATTTGATGAGCATTCCATCTGTAGTCAGAACAATGCGAAGTGATAATGAAAAATCAATTTCAAATTTACTCTTTGTGGTCAAACCTGAAAGTACAAGAATGGTGAAACTTACGATGGAGCTGGGTTACCATCAGCTATACATCGAATTGTAATAAGGAAAAGATTATCAGGCGCCTTGTTCTGTTCCGTGCCATGCTTTTCTACTTTGTAGTAAAGAATCGGCCCGTTTGGTTCGTGAATAAATCGTGGCGGTGTCGATATAGAAGCCCAATCGACCGTCGCTCCTGAAAAAAAAATTCAGTGTCAGGGGATGATTTTTGCAACACTGATAAAAAAATGACAGGACTCTTCAACATTCACCAGGGCGATGTGACCGTATACCTCCGGTACCACTTACCGTAAACAGAGAAGAGTCGTGCGACATCAATCCCCCTTCCTCCCAATAGCCAAAATCGGCTTAGAATTTACTATATGGCCGAAATATTGCTGTCAGGTTTTGTATCAAGACAGGACCACCCAATGATCACAGTCCCTAACGGATTTTCGATGTCAAAAATTCCACACTCGCTTTCACGTTCTGAACGCACCCTACAAGAGTAACTGGAAGATGTTTGAACAACAAAAAAAGATATTTCGATCTGATCGGTCCTTATGCGCCACGCACTCTACTTCTATTCAGACTCAGAGTGTTTTGAGCCCCTCCTGTGCAAAGACAAATTCTGGAAAAAGAACGAAGCAATATGGAGGTCAGTGTTTTCCTCCCAGATGACTGAACGGTCCAGAAGGGATGGAACACCTGTCTGGCACAAGCCGGAACTGATCCGCGATTCGACGGACCATCACTGGGCAAGCGATGCCACCTACCACTCGTCCTATTCAAGGACTTTCGGCTCGTCAAAATGCTAACGTCGCTTTCTATATCAATGCAATGCGTAACACACCCTTCCTATGCTCTCTAGCACTCAGATTTTTCGAGCTTAGTATTTCCATTGCGGGTGATACCTTTGCGCAGGGACCAAGTACATTACGACACTTTCCTGAGTACACAATGGCGCACCTCCAATTAAATTACGGAAAGTTCATGTCCTCCACTTCTGTTCACATTCACGTGAACGCACATTGGCTTTGTTAACTATTTAATGTAAAAGAGAAACAACTGGGTTGCTGAAAGAGAAGCAAAGGTTCTGCAGTGACCATCACGTCACGAAACCTCTCCCACATAATAATGCCCTCATAGCAAAATTCAATCTCCGGCATAAAGCAAAGCTCGCGATCACAGATCGTGGGTAATAAAGCTCATGTATGAACCATAAGGTATCACATGACGGATCAGTAGGAAAAAAAGCATAAAAAGAAACCGTTCGATTCGAGAAGCCTTACAAACGACGTCCGCCGATGGCACCACGCACATGGTGAAGAGAAGGCGTGTCTGCCCGAATTTTTCATTGTTATCATGAGGATATAAGCTCTTTCCCCTTGTCACATCAGTCTCATCATTTGTAGATAGTGGTAAGAGAGGGGCTACTAGCAAGT